TTATAGAATTTAGATAAAAAATTAAGAATATATTTTGGTTGTTTAAACTTACTAACATGAGTTGTAAATGAGAAAATTTACAACTTATATTTGAATTTTTAAATATGATATTTTAATACATTTAAACTGAAATTGTTTTTATTGCAGATGGCCAAGAATTGGAACTCTATTATTGTACATATTGACAATAGCAGGAATCGTATCATACGTTTCTGAATCATTAATTAAGAAATGTTTCGTGATCATTGGTGTATCATTAAATTTAGAGTATGTTTCACGTGTTAAATATTTTTATTAAATACTAGCAAATAATGTCCTAGAACTCATAGACAGTTTTGTCATTGTTAAAAATTAGGCTCTGCCACCCCGTTTTCGGCAAAAGGCAAAGAAAAACTATAAAAGATTTGGCGCAAATCAATCAAAGATTTAGATAATTTGTAAGAAATAAAATCAGCGGGAAGGAATGAAAGGTTCTTGACACGGATGTATTTCGTAACAATTTTGACGTTTTTAGGTATTTTTTCATTGATACGGCTCACTATACACGAATATACTCAAAAAGTAATTCAAAGAACTTAACTTACGTATGTGGATATCTCATAAGAGAACACTAATTGTGATTTTTAAGTAATTGTACAGAGATGACTAACGTTGAACACACAAATACTACAGGCCTACGTACACTAGTTTAGTTTCATGTAAGGAAAGTAAATTCGCTTCTTATAGATATATCTGATACCACAAGAGTATTATTATAAGAAACAAACTACCAGGACAAAATAAGTAAAGCATATACAGAATTAACTGAAGTGAACGTGTCGAAATAGAATGGGTAAAGTAATAAGTTTAAAAAAGCTCAGAAGGTGGTGAAAAGTATTGACAGTGAAGGGAAAAAAACCACGAAAAAATATCTCTTGTGCATTTTCCTTTTCTAATGTGAAAATACTGTATTCCCTATGTTCGTTTGGAAGAAAGAAGTTACCCAATACTGAAAGAATTTAAAAACTCAGTTCAGTAAGTTCTGAGATTATCTGTAGCAAACAGACAAACATTCACGCTGTGTATATTAATATACACAGGGTATATTCTACATGTGTATATAATATAAAAATAATAATAAATAAAATTTCTACACTTAACGAAATTTAGGAAAGACAGTGGAAATTTTATAAAAANGAAACAAACTACCAGGACAAAATAAGTAAAGCATATACAGAATTAACTGAAGTGAACGTGTCGAAATAGAATGGGTAAAGTAATAAGTTTAAAAAAGCTCAGAAGGTGGTGAAAAGTATTGACAGTGAAGGGAAAAAAACCACGAAAAAATATCTCTTGTGCATTTTCCTTTTCTAATGTGAAAATACTGTATTCCCTATGTTCGTTTGGAAGAAAGAAGTTACCCAATACTGAAAGAATTTAAAAACTCAGTTCAGTAAGTTCTGAGATTATCTGTAGCAAACAGACAAACATTCACGCTGTGTATATTAATATACACAGGGTATATTCTACATATGTATATAATATAAAAATAATAATAAATAAAATTTCTACACTTAACGAAATTTAGGAAAGACAGTGGAAATTTTATAAAAATGATAGCCTAAATATTTTTTTTATCAAATGTTAAATATTTTAAAAAATTTCAAAGTAACGTTTTCCAGTATTCATCGTAATGATGCTGATTTCTATTATACATATATTAAGTTAAAATATTTATATATAGTTTTATATTACTTTGTTTGTTTTTTAATTGGTTACAAAATAGTTATCACATTAAAAATATTATTGTATTGTCTAAATTTATTACAGAAATCTTGAGAAGTTGCTGGATAGTATATACATCAAACCTTACTTATCACACCTAAGTTCTTATTGCTTGGGCTTATTAATTGGACACGTTTTATCGGAAAAAAAACAATTGAAATTCGGAAAGGTATGTTGTAAATATGGTTTGATATATTTTCAAGCATTCATTTTAAATCTAAATATTTCAAATAAAAATTGTACTCGTATGAAACAAGTGTTTAACATATTTAGAATTTGGATACAACAAAATTAATTACAATCTAATAAGAGAGTTAACGCATTTGGATGTCTTATTCTCACTAACACACAAGAATCTCATTAGAACAAAAATCAAATTCGACACCATCAATAAAATACAATTAATATCACATGGAATAACGTAAGATTTTCCAGTAAGAACGTCCATTATAAATTGAAATTATGTATTTACCAGATTTACATAAAAAAAATTACTTAATCTTTTACAAGGAATGCTCAGCAATACTGACTGTAGTATTATGCGATATTATGACAAGTAACAGTACAAGAAATTTTAGTGTTCGAATACTACTATAAGGTTTTCAAAACATCGATTATCCGAGGAACTGAACACTGTAACGTAAAAATTATTTGGCACGTAGTGACAGTACTGTAATTACACTCTGTATTTCACAGACATTGTGCTTTCTAATGTTTGAATTTGGCATATTTTAATTTCATATTTATACAAGGAATCTATATTTATATATAATTGTTTCTAGTTATTTTACTCAAAAGAACTACAGTATTTCATTTCGCTTGTATCATAATCAGTCGTTACATATAGGAATGCACACAATAAATTTAAAGCAAATAACATTTAAATACAGAAATATATAAAATAATCAATGTGTAGACTACTTTATTAACCTCACTTGACACGTGTTCTAATGTATACTTTGTTCCTGCTTTCTATGATTATTTACCATGTAAGTAATCATATTTCAGTCTCTAATTTACTTATGGACTGTGACGTATCAACGTCATTTAAATCATTAATATTTATTTTTTAGGTTTATTTTCACGTTTCGAAAATAAAACTAATATACTTTAAAACTTAATAGAAGTATGTCAACCTTTAACACGAAACTTTTATTTCAAATCGTCGTGACTTAAAAATTATTTGTAGTACTTCATGAACAATAATTTTACACGTGTGTTTTATATTTCATTGTAATTATTGAGGAGTGTAATGTATGCTACACATAATAAATATCAGATACGAAAATAGTTTATACAACACAATTATAATAATAACCAGATATGAAATGATGTTTCAGATATATTTTACTGATATCAATATTTTGATTCTAGCATTCAAATCAAATTATTTTTCTTATGTTGTTGTTTTTAGTTTCTTATCTGTTAGAAATGATTATGATTTCTCTGATTGGCTGTTTTATGCAATTTTCACTAGTTTTGTCACAACGATTGACAGAGAATTTAACGCATGCATTTCGATTTAAATGAAAGATATTACATGAAGGAAGAATTGTATTTTGTGTCAACCGTTGTGGCATATCTACAGGAAATTAGAATAGCCAATTACAAAATTAACAAATTATTTATCATTTCCATGCCTGTTTCATACTTTCTAATTACATTGAGTAATTCTGATGACGATACTGTATAAATACATTTTTATGTCAGTATGTTATATGTTCAACCTTTATCAATAGAACAATATTATGGCAATATAGGGCATGAATGGCTAAAATAACATTTTTAAAATCAAATTATATCTCAAAAATTTATTGACTTTTATAATCGTCGTTAACTTTTAAGCAGCAACTTATATATATATAGCCTATATATATATAAACAAATAATAAAGATGAAAATGTAATTAAATGATAATTTTACGTATACCATTAAATTGAAAATATAAACAATTTTAAATTCGATAACTGAACGTATATTTTTAATATCATTACAGAGGACTCTCATTTCGTGTTGGATTACGACAACTTGTTTGATAGGATTGGCTTTCTTCGGTTTGCACAATTACAGACTTGATCCTTCTCCAAATGAATCAGTAATAGCTGCTCATCAGATTCTTACTCCATTTGCGTGGACAGCCATAATAGCTTGGATATGTGTTGCGTGCATTTCGGGATACGGAGGTATGTTGATAACTTTAATTTAAGAACTGTAAGGAATACATTATTAAACAGTTTGATTTTTCTTACAAAATAAAATATAAGGCTTCGTCAACAGATAAGGTTTACATTGACTCACTACAGTAATAAAAAATTGACTACACAATTTCGTATTTTTCCTTAAGCGTAAGCGTTGTTAGCTTTCGGACACTCACTTCTAACAGAAATATGAAACACGTGCTACAAATAACGCTTGACGTGAGAAAATGCAAAATTGGATTCTGCTGTGACGTTGATATAGATTATATATTTTCTTTTTGTTTATCTGTTATTATTTTATATATAAAAATACATAAAATGTTAAAGCATTTTTATTAATATGTATATATTAATAAGTCGAGTCCCCTCCTGAAAAAAAGAGTTCACACCGCACTGTAAATGCTAATTAAATTTTAAAGTTCTTCAAGTTTCGTTCTTTATTACATTCTTACATTTTAATTTAAATTACAATTCTAAAAAACTTAAAAATTTATGTCTAGATGGAGGCTGTCTAAATTATGTTTGTCTGAGTTAAAAATCAAGTTTTATTTATTGATAGGTCCAAACATAGAGGGAAGTTGCTATTGATAGTTTAATGCGATTGTTGATTTAAAGGCATACTGATTGGTGATATAAATGGCGATGCAAAGATATGTAACATCTCATTGAAAACTATGAATGAATTAAAGAAAATTTTCTTGAAAATTAATAAGAAATGTACTCTTAAACCTCGCTCTTAATAACTTTCTACAACTGTTTATATATTGTGTTTTATTAAAAAATGAAGTACTAATGCTATTTGCATGCTGAAAGTACGATTTTTGCTTTATAAATCATGCTGTAATTCGTTCTATATGTATTTCGTAAAGATAAATTATAGGAAAAACAAATCTAACGGATTTTCCGTTAAAAGACAGATGTGTGCAGCTACGTTAGTTTATACATAAACCAACAGTAAATATACAGATGTATAAATACAGCAAAAATTACCTTTGTTAAATATTTATATATACTTCACGGAAATAAGTTAATTCTGAATTTTAAAAAAATTTAAATATTTTATTCAGAAGAATAAGAGACCATAAATTTACCTATGCTTTTGACTAATATTCTGTAATAAATAAATGAGAAGACATTAATAGATTATACAGTCTTTAGAATCTTGGCATTGCCTTATGTCAGGAGAAAAACTTAAAAGTAATAATAACACAAGATTTTCTGTTTTTTTTTGTGTAAAGAAATTTCTTCACTAAAATATGCGAAAATTATTAAGCACGAAAAAATTGTACTTTTATTTTTTGTATAACGCTTGAAATTCAATTAATTATATTTAGTGGGATGGATCACGTGTTGATCACAGTACAGTTTCTGAAATCTTCAAATGACACTGAACACAGCTACCCTCATTTCTTTCTCGACATTAATTTTCGTGCGACACTTAGTTTTTAACACAGCGACAGCCGAAGACCACAAATAAGAATTCGCAATTGGAATTAAATTTTCGGAGCTTTTCAACTCAGAAAATTTTAATTCAATAAATATGGTAACCATATTTATTATCCGACATTCACTTAATTCCATGCTGCTAAATTTTGTTTACAACGTATTGTTGCAAAACATCTCAATAAAAATTTTTCTTTTGCAGCAGTAAATTCAAATGGAGCACTGGCATCAAATGAATCTTGAATCTATGAAAATTTATCGATATTATCAATTTGAAAATATTTCTCAAACTAAGTGATAAGCCGTGATAAATGTTCTTCAAAAATGCATTTCATACCTCGAAAGAAATTAAATCTACTGGAGATGAAAACTGCTGCTACAAGAAAAAACTTTCTTTTCCTCCATCTTCATTTATTTTTATTTAGCAGAGTTTTAATTTTTTTATGAAAGCTAAAATTTTCTAAATCAACATGCACTTTTTAAAGTCGATTGAGAAAATTTCAGCTTTTATAAAAAATTAAAAATGTGGTAAAGAAAAATAAATGAAGATGAGAAACTGCATGTTGACTCCTTGTACGGCATTCAGAGCATTCAGCTTTTCAAAAATATCACATACGTAGGCTAGTTTTATCAAAAACTCTTCATTCATAAATTTTCCGCATACATGCTGTCTTCCTCTTTACGAAAAGTATAAATTTCCTGACACAGTTCAAACATACGAAACTAAACATTAATACGAGAGAGCCATCACGAAGTGCTGTAGTACAACAAAAACGTGTACTCGGATCCAATATATTTGAAAAATCTTTCCTTCAACGGCTGAATTTTTATAAAGTTTACTACATTGACTACATATTCTAAGGCCTGGTTCAATGTAGCACTCAGATATTTTGATGCGATTGCTTCTCTTGAATGATGCAACGAGTCCACAGTGCATTAGACTCTTTGCTTCGAAATGCTTATAATCCTCCAAAACAACCGGACATAGAAAGAGCATCATCAGTACAGATATCAAAGCATTCTGTCCACTCCAAATTGTTTTCAGATATAAAAGTATTAAAGATCTCGAACAAGTCTCTAACCTTAGACCAGCAGTGATACTTTTACAAAAGAAAGGTTTTCTACAGTGTTATAAACCGCACATAACAAATGAAGTGAGCGTCATTATTACTATCTGTGGCCTCATCCAGCTACAACAAAAATTCCTTTTCTTTTTTCAATTAACTGATCATTGAGGTATTCCGTTATATACTGTATTCTGCGACTGATGGTATCATTAGACCAAGGCACTTTTGAAAGCTGCTTTCCAGCAGATTCACCGATATGTTCATCATGTCTACAGCAGCCGGTAGAATGAGTTTTTTTGTGATGGAATGGGCTTCTTACATTTTGCGATTCTCTATGCCATCTTGAAAGATGCTAGCAAAACATTGCTTGGCATTGATGCCTGCTTATAATAAGTAACTTTTTTCTTGATTTAACTCTTTTAATGTTGTAGTAAAGTAGTCGCGATATTTAATAACCATGCTAAGATAATTGCTTTCGAAATGGCGTTTCAACTTACTTAATATCTGTGGCGTAGTAAACACTAGTATTGTGTTTTATTCCAAAGACACATGGCAAATTTTCCATCAAATTCCTTTATTAGTTGAGTCGATTTGATTTGTCAGCTTTTATAATTTCTAATGCGTTATCTCATAGGAAGATATTCAGCTCTTGGATTTGGGTCTTATATTGAAGATAGCTTGGTTCTTTTATTATTGTTTTGTTTCTTTCTTTAGTTATATATGATTTAATTTTATTACTTAGTTTACTCTTCATTATATTCTTATTCTTATTCAACACCCTTGGTTCATATGGAGATTATAGCCTGAAATGCTTTTTCTCCGAGAGACGAATTTATTGATCGCTATGCGACCGAAGAGCCAGCCGTATCTAACGGCTTATACGCGCGCGCGGGAAAGAGTGCCTTCCGGGAGGACTTTTATGGGGAACTGGCCTCCTATTCAGTCGTTGTTGGCAAGGACTCTTCATTATAGTTGATTCTGTTTCAGGTTGATTCAGAACACATTTTGTCTAGATTTGGTATTATATTTAAGACGTCCCATTTATTGGGGCCGTTGAAATCTAATCCTCTATATAGTATTTCCTTGATGTTTATTGGTAGGTTTATTTTTGTTTTGTTTAGTATAAGAGCTTCTTTCCAACTTGTCAGTTCTATTTTAGTTGGGTATTGAAATTTTTAAATTAATTTTTTATATTTGTTCTCTTCATATTGCTGATTGTATTATATTTCTTCTTTATTTTGTAACAATCCTATCTTAGTGTTTGTCTCATATTTTTTCAGGGCTCGTTTTAAACTTCTAATTTTTACATATTTGTACTGTATCGCAGCTCTGAGAATTTTAAAGTTGATATAATTTCTTTCTCTCGTAGGTATAGCTTCTGGTATACTTAATATCATTAACTCTGGTGTCAAAACTTACATACAAAGTACACTGCGGCCTCTCTTCGCCATAGTCTTCTGTCAATGTAAAAGGAACATTTGAATAACGGTCATATTTTCGATATTTACGCATCTTCACACTTTTGCCACTGGTTGACAGCGTAACCTTTTTACTTTCACTCTCGCAACGCTATTACTACTTAGTGAACACCGATTCATTCTCAAAAATGCATACGAGAAGAAATACATCAAAACCTTCACTTGCCTTAATGACGACAATATTCAGTCGATACAATCTCTGAAAACTTATTAAACACAGAAAGCGCGTGAAACCGGCAGCTATTTATATACGAACACAAAGTACTAAGAAAGATTCACAAATTAATAAAACGAATTCTTCGTAGCTCGCAGGTGGTCTCACAGACCCTGCGCGATAGTTAGATAACATATTTTAATAATAAATACAGTGGGTGATCGGTTAACGAACAGTTCGGTTAGCGAACAAATCTGATAACGAACACTTTTACGAAAGATTTTTATAATCGGATAGCGAACACTTTACTGAACAAAGATAAAAAAAAGCCACAGAAAATCACGAATACCGACTGATTTTCCTTTGTCTTCAGGTAACAATTCGAAACCGTTTGGAGCGCTGGAGACGTCAACATCGACGCTCAACCCGATATCAACCGGATAGTATTCCTCCGAATGTTGAAACTCTCTTTTGTATTTCCAGCTTTTTGTTTACCTTTCCGACAAATAATATTTTATAGTCTTCGCGAAACTGTCGGACGGGCACTTGTTAAGTTTTGCGTCGGGGTTTATTTACGAAAGTTGAAAGTTTAACTGTTCCACCGGATATTCGTTAACGTTTTATTACCAAATTTCGAATTTCATCCGGGCCTTGCATTTAAATAATTTTTGTGGGCTAGCTGATTTCTGTTCTCTAAATTTTTGTAATTGTTTTTCTGAACTTTTTATTTAAAAAAGAAACTGATATTATTATGGGGCTTAAAAAGAGGAATGGCAAGAACTGTGCTTACCGTAGAAACCAAGTAAGAGATAATAGCCAAGATAGAAAGTGGGCGCAAGATGT